TTACCTTCAGATAAACGAGGTATTTAAACAGGACAGGAAAATAGGTTTTCAGATGGAGAGGTCGAAATTAGAAACAGAATTGTTAGAACCCAATACTAAGAATTTGTCAAGAATGTATAATTTGCTGCTGAAATGGAACACACAAGATGAAACAGTAAAGTCAGCCATGATTAAATGGGCACAAGACATAGGCCATAACATTATGTTCGAAGACTGGGAAAGGTTGTGGAATACTGGTATTAGGTTCACGGCCTGTAACGTTTTGAGAGAAAATATAATGAAAATGATCTATAGATGGTATATGACCCCAGTCAAACTTGCAAAAATTTATCATTTGCCCAATAACAAATGTTGGAAATGTAATGAAAGTGAAGGTACCTTTTATCACCTTTGGTGGACCTGCCCGAGGATTAAGGCCTACTGGGAAATGATCTATAATGAAATCAAAAAGGTCCTTAAATGGACATTTCCTAAAAAGCCAGAGGCTTTTCTCCTAGGCATGGTGGGCCAATTGGTGTCAAAGAAGGACAGAACTTTTTTTATGTATGCTACCACAGCAGCAAGGATTCTTCTGGCAAAGTATTGGAAGACGCAGCAGCTACCCACTCTGGAAGAATGGCAAGCGAAGGTGATTGACTACATGGGAATGGCAGAGATGACCGGCAGAATCCGTGACCAGGGGAAGGAGACAGTGGAAGAAGACTGGAAGAAATTTAAAGTATACCTTAAAAACTGTTGTAAAATTCAAGAGTGTTGAGATGTTACAGTGTTAAGAAATAGAGAATTGCAGCTGTATATCATAAATTTAAAAGAGATATAATGAAGATGAATTAATAAAGAAATGAAGGGTTGCTGTTAAAAGGAGAAAATAAGGATGCAGAAAAGGGAGGTATGGGGAAGTCCGGGAAATAAGGTAAAGGAGAAGGAGTTTATGAAATTGTATATGTTTATTTGTTTGTATGTTTTGTTGTGTTTTGTGGTTTGTTTATTTTATATGTCTGGAAAACTAATAAAAAATTTTATTAAAAAAAAAAAAAGAATTAAGCAAATGAAAAACTGTAATTTGAGACTTGTATTTTCTCTTTTTATTTTTCTTTTTTTTTCTGTTTTCCTTTTTGGGTTAGGGTTGGGGTTTTTTATATGTATTGATGAAACTCTGAATAAATATCATTTGAAAGAAAACAAACCCTAAACCTAACCATAGCCCATAACCCTAAACCCACATTGAAATTTCCATGGGGCTGAAAAGTATTCCCCAAGCAACACCTTCTGGGAATGACCATCTAAGTAGGACCATGCAAAGCAGTGCCACCTACCCCTAGTTCAGACAGCCGCTCTAGAAGGATACCATGGTCGATGGTATCAAAAGTCACTGAGAGGTAGAGGAGAATTAACAGGGACATGTTTCCCTTTCTCTCTTGACAGAGGTCATCATATAGGGTGACCAAAGCAGTTTCTGTGCCAAAACCAGGCCTAAACCCCATTTGAAATGGATCCAGAAGATCAGTTTCTTCCAAAAGCGCATGGATCTGGTCTGTAACCACTCACTCCAAAATCTTGCTCAGGAAAGGGAGATTAGCAACTGTCCATTAGTTAGGAAGGTTTTCCGAATCCAGGGAATTCTAAGGAGAATAACAGGAGGAGTCAGAACCCCATGTCAGCAGCTTCCATGCAAAAGCCACTGTGTCCTCCTTGGACCTTTCCACCTCTGCTTTTCAACTTGTGAAGGAGGATGCCCTGTTTCCCTGAGCAATTTGGCAGAATCTCATCCTCTTCTTGCAAACCATGAACTCAATGGGGTGATATGGATGCCCGAATGGGACTCGGATGAGTTCAGCACAGTAGCCAGCTTTTGCCATCTGGAAACTGCCCTGCTGTAGCAATTTGTACTGGGTAGTTGGAGGATGAGTGCCACCTTGGGACTGTAATAATTGCATCCATAATATTGGTATTGGATTCACAATGCATTAGAACCCAGCAGCCTTGTACTTGTCATTGCTTGGGATTTCTAAGAAATAATAGTAATAATAAAATCAGTGCAGTTTTGCAATCTGCCACCTTGATTCAAAATGGCATTGATCTGCGTGAGAGCATAGATGAAGAACTGCTCCTTGATGTCAGGAATCATCACAGAAAATTTGGTTGTGGGAGTCCAAATGCATAGCAAGCAAACAATTTTCCAAAATATATAGTAGATGGATATATTACAAATATTTTTATCCTGTCTTTCCAATCTGCTCAAGGCAGATTACAGTCTAAATAATATATTCAACCCAACAGTAAAATACAAGATATGTAAGGCTGAAGGCTGTAGGTGGAATGTTCCAGACTCCTTCTGGGCATTCTCAGGACAGCTGGCTATGAATTACAAGAAATCTAAAGTCATGGTGTTTTCAAGAACTATAGGGCCCATAGATGGTATATGGAGAATCAGTTGATCAAACAAGTTAAAGTCTTTAAACACCTTGGCCTTATTTTTCAGTCAACAGGGTCATGGGGAGCACATCAGAAATATGCAAAGGAAAAGGCATCTCAAAGTGCCAAAATTCTGACACGCTTTTTCCATACAAAGGGTGGCAATCACATACCATCAGCGCTTGAAGTGTTTAAAGCTAAGCCCCCAGCACAGTTATTATGTGGGGCTCAGATTTGGACAGGCGCTCACCTTGGATCTACAGAAGCTGTTCAATCTAAGTTCCTAAGGCAGTTTTTTTCTGCTCCATCCTGTGTTCCAAGTGCTTCATTGTGCTTACAGGCTAATTTCCCCTCTGTTGAATTACAGATTTGGTGTAGGGCATTTAATTATTGGCTTCGCCTAAATTTAAACCCCACTGGTCTATTACCTTTAGTATCGCATGAGAGCACTTGGACTAAAATTGTCAACTAAAAGCTTTACTTTTCTGGTTTATTACCACAACAGTTATTAACGCTGGGCTTCTGTAAAGCAAATAATTTAATTAGACAGTGCCTATATGATACTGAGTGACAGAACACTTTGGTCACAATAAGGAAATTTTGTCCATGGTATGATTATTTTCCACCTAGTCATTTTGACACTTTGGCACCCTATTTGCAAAATGTAACAATTCCAAAATACAGGTGCGCTTTCACTTTTGCACTTTTGTACTTTCATCTTCGGCTGTACTGGAGGGTCAGTTTCAAAAAATCCTGCTGGAAAACCAGTCATGTCCATGTGGAGATGGCAGTATTGAGTCAGTGGCTCATGTGCGTCTGGCTTGCACTCTTTACAATGGTTTGAGGAGCGAGGTTATGACCCCTCTATTATTGTCCATGCCAGGTCGCCCAGCCACTGCCACAGTGTCCTTTCTCTTGGCAGATCAAGATGAGCAGGTGACAGCAAAAACTGCAAGGTTTTTAGCAGGGGCAATTAGAATAAGAGCTATTATTTGATTATAGCTGTAAGCCTCTAGAACGTATTTTGTACAGTTACCTTTTTACCTCTATCTTCAGTACATTGTATTTTATTTTATCGCTGTGGCTAGTGGCTGATGCAAATAATAATAATAATAATAATAATTCTTCTGATTCCGGACTCCTTCTCTTTCTAGCTTTCTAGCTTTCATTTTACACACCCTCTCCCACCCCAAAAATAATTCGGCCAGTTCTTTTTCTCTGTAGACAAAAAGCAAAAGTGCAGGCAGTCTTCCACCTAATGGTCCATGTCTATGCAGGGCTTCCCTTGTACTTGGTCTGGAAAATCCATTTACTACAGAAAGCTGCTGCTTAGCTTCTTTCAGGCCTGAGATCCTGCCTGCATGTTACACCTCTAAGTAAAGATTTGCACCGGCTGCCAATCTGCTACCAAGTTCAAGGTTTTAACATTTGTATGAAAATCCCTTATTGAAGCCAGTTTCTTTGCCCCATAGCTTACATTTCCAGTCTGCAGAAGTTGCACTTTCACACTTGCCATATAACGTTCTGCACCCATGAGGATGCTTCCCTCAAAGAATTCTGGGCACTGCAGTTTACCCCTCAGGGAGTTACAATTCCTGTCAAACTACCATGCCCAGCATTCTTTGAAGGAAAAGATGTGCTCTGAAGATGCTTTAAAGGCAGGGTCATGCCACATAATATAGGGCTGCTTTCTGTTTATGGAGAACTAATGTGCAAGTATGACGCCACTTGGCACCCTTCCCAGCGGTGAAGGAACAGTCTGTGCCGCTGGAGCCAGATGACTCCTTTGCAAACAGCCAGGTGCCAGATTTTCCGCTGGACACAGAATAAGAAGCAAGAATCAAACCACCTCACTGTTTGCTCTGGGTTCAGAAGGTGGGAAGATAAAAGTCAGGAGGCAATCCTAGGAAAGTCCTTTTGACTAGGTCATGAAAGTTGTCAAGGATAACTCTGCAGGCTCATAGAGAGGTAACCAATCACTATAGCAATAGGAGGAGGAGGTGGCCATGTGATTGCCAGGTGAGAGGCCCCACCCATTTGTCAACATTGGCTCACAAGGCTGATTCTGGTCAGGATCTGACCCACGGAGTCAAAAGGTTTCCATACCCCTGTGCTAGTGCAACAATTTCATTGAATATAGCCCGTTGAAATTAATGAACATGACAAAATGAGGTCCATTAATTTCAGTGGGTCTATTCTGAGTAAGACTTGGTTGAATACCACCCATAGAAAGTTCCCATAAACTGCCTTATTTGTGCATTAAAATTAAAATTCTAATACAGGAATAAAATTGATTATATTGTGAATTTATCAAATATAGTATGGCAATACTTTAAAAAAAATATGAATTAATTACAATCTAGTAATACAACTTGGAAGCTGGAGCTGGAGCTCTCAGCCCTCTGCCACAGGGAAGGGGACCCAGGGAGTCACGCCTGCTGCTTCTTGTTGACGCACACATGCTGATTAGCTAAGCAAGGTCAGGGCCAACGTCCTCAAAGGTCTCTTGAAGTCCTACCGACTTGGCTGCTTTCCAGAGGAGTGCCAAAGAGCCTCTATAAAAGTAGTGTGACACCCTCACCTTGCTCCTTGCCCTCCTGAAGTGCAACGATGAAGGCTCTTTGGCTGCTGCCCTTGCTCACCGGTCTCCTCGCCACAGGAGAAGGCCTGGTCTATGGGCGCTGTGCGCTGGCTCAGAGGCTCCAGCAGCTGGGCTTAGATGGTTATGCTGGCTACAGCCTGGCCAACTGTGAGTCCACTGGAGGACATCTGGGTCTTGACTAGGCAGGCATGATGAAAAGACAGAATTTATCTGAGAGTGGGGCGTGCGGGGTGTGTGTGTGTGTGTGTGTGTGTGTGTGTGTGTGCGCGCACGCACGCACACACACACACACTCCATTTGGGGTGAGTATTTGATCTTCTGGGCCCTGACCATGTGTCTGGCTGTCATTATGAGGGGAAGGTGGCCTCCCTCCACATTTCTATAGCTACTCTGCAACATGCTCTGCTGCATCCTGCTATAGCAGGAGTCCTCAAACTTTTTAAACAGGGGGCCAGTTCACTGTCCCTCAGACACTGTTGGGGGCCGGACTAAAGAGGTGCCAGAAATATGCTCTTTTTCATGTTGTTGTTGTTGTTTTTTTAAAAAAAACCTTGTTTCAAAATAGTAGCCAGAACAGACACACAACAGGCGCTTCAGTAATAATATAAATTACCTATACCTCACCTTTAGACTTCATTTCTTCTTTTGATGTTGTTGTTCCTCATGCATGTGACTTTCTCTGCATTGAAGTTTATTTTCAAACTTGGGGAAGTTTGGGTGGAGAGCTTTCTTTTAAAGATTAACCCTCCACTATTTACATGGAGATTCCCTTGTACAATAAACTGTTGTGATTCAGACCTCTCTTCTTGCTAATTCTATTGCATATGTTGCCTGTGTTTTTGGTGCTTCCCTAACTTTTAAGGTTGCCCAGGTTGCCGCATGGGACTTGTGTGCGCAACCGGTCGGTGAGGCGCTGCTCTGGCGAGCATGGAGCCGGCCTGAGGGGAAGGGAGGAGGGCAAGGGCTGGCGTGGAAGGGGGTCCTTTGCCGCCGTCCCCCCCTCCGGCGGCTTAAAGGGGCCGTGCGCCGTTATCAAGCAGCTGGTGCTGACAGTAGCAAGCGCGTTACCAGGCCTTTGTTACATTCACGTGTTTTACCTCAGGGCTCTTCCTGCCCAGCCGTTTCCGAGCCTCAGGCCTTGCAGGCGGGCCAGGTTCAGGACCCTGGCAGGCCAGATCTGGCCCGCTGGCCATAGTTTGAGGACCCCTGTGCTGTAGGGTTGCAGGAGTAGGGTTTAAATGATGGTGTGAATGAGTGAACTGGGGTGAAGAGGATGGTTTGTGCATCCATCTGGGGAGAAGTGGAAGGATGCAGCCTAGAGGTGGATGGGATGAAGCCAGGGGCATTTCTTGGAGATGGAATTGTTCAGAGGTGGAACAAAATTGAAATGACTACTGTAGTAGTCTGAACGCCAACAGCATGATTTCCATTCTGGTTTGTTTTCTGTGTCCTCCCCCCGCCCCAGATGCTGCGTCAGGTGTGGGGCAGGTAGCTGACACAACAAGCTGCATTTTATGAAATCCCGCCCCCCTTTTTAGACAACTATGGAAAGGTGCAGGGGTTCTGTCTTCTTTTGCACCCGGCAATTGTTAAAGGAGAATTAGTGGATACTCTCTGAAGACCATCCCCCCAAAAGATATCTCCCTCAAGTCAGCTGCAGCTGTGGAAAAACCAAAACACCCTGAGTGGCTTCACACACAGACCTGCTCCAAACCAAGCATGATCCCAGGGGCAGAGGTGGGGATGCAGCTCAGCAGAATCCCAGGTCCAGTCCTGCATTGCCCATCTGGTAGCATGAGGTCAGCTATTGCCATTCCTGCTTGTGAGGAGGAGGTCAGGCTCCTCAACTGTCCTGGAACAGGCAGAGAAGGGTGGGGCCGGATCACTGACTCTCTGAACAGCTCCTGATAAGGCAGGGTTTTGAAACACCTGCAGGGAGGAGGTGAAGAATGGGGCATGCTTCCCAGACTGTGTGCACTTAGCTCTGCTCTGATTATGTATCTGTCTCAGGGGTCTGCACGGCCTGCCACGAGAGCAGCTATAATACTGCTGCCACGCACTACAATGACTACGATGGCAGCACTGACTTTGGTATCTTCCAGATCAACAGTCGTTACTGGTGCCAGGATGGCAGTCAGCCGAGTTCCAACATGTGCAGAATTCAATGCTCTGGTGAGAATCGGCTTCCCCTGGAGAGAGTTTTGCCTCATTCAGAGATGGAGAACCTTTGGCCTACCAGATGTTGGCTGGGGCTGATGGAAGCTAGACTCTAACGACATCTGGAGGGCCACATGTTCCCCATCCTGATCTAAATTGTGATGTAAGCCACATCAAACACTTTTGGGAGACAGAAAGGACCAGTTGTCCTTCCTCACCTTCTGCTCTTTGCAGGTGTGGAGTCCACAACCCCAAAGGTAGAAAGTAGGATAGCCGTGGGTCAGCAGTCTGGCCTGACCGTATTTGTACATTGATGTATCTGCTGGCTGGGGCTTCCTCCCTGAAATGCCAACCAGGGGATTTCAAGTTACACATATAACTGAACATTGTAGGAGTGAGACCTCAGCAAATGCATTTATTTGACTTGGAATTCATAAGGGTATAGAAATATTGCATCCTTCTTGATGCAACAGGGCATTTCAAATTGCATGCTAATGGGCAGTGGGTCAGTGACAACCATGGATGGGTCAAGCGATATTGTTTGGCCTACTTTACACCCTCCCTTTTTACCTTTTTAATCCTTTTTTTACCTACCTGCACCCACGCCCCGTCACCACAAAACTTATCCAAACCTATAGCATCCCAGCAGGGACCTTTCATGTCTGTATTCCATCTTCTTTCCTTGCAGAACTGCTGACAGACAACGTCGCTCCAGATGTGGCTTGTGCTAAGATTGTGGTCGACAACTCAGAGGATGGAATGGGTGCCTGGTAAGAAGTCTGCTGGGAGAAAACTCTTAGTGGCGTTTCCTTGCAAGAGGTGGAGGCATCTGCCCAGACACCCAGTCACTGCAGAAGCACAAGGTCACGCTGGAAATGGGAAATGGCTTGTAACATGGTTGTTCCCAAAGTGTGAGCTGGGGAATACTGTGAGGCCATTAGATGATGACCATGGTGTGCAGTGACTGGACTACGGGGTCTAGGCTAGTCCACTAAATGTTCCCCTGGTGCCCGGGAAGCTTCTGCCTGCTGTGAAGCTCACATGTGCAACGTCAGGACATCACAGTTTCACATGCATGACATTGCCCCCCCCCATCTCCCTCACAAGCTGTTGCCTCTGGCCCTAACTGTTCCCCTAGGAAAACTTTCAGCGCTTGCCACTGGACAGTGGTGGCCTTTGGGCTCTCAATTTTCAGCAGTGTCTTGTGCTACGCTAACATTTGGGAGGGGGATACCTTTGGCACTCCATTCTACATCATTGTTTTGGTGCCCTGTGTGGTTGAACTGGTCACACTACCAGCCTTAGCATTAGAGAACTGCTACTCTGACACAATAGGGTTGCGGGTGGCGCTGTGGGTTAAACCACAGAGCCTAGGACTTGACGATCAGAAGGTCAGCGGTTCGAATCCCTGTGACGGGGTGAGCTCCCGTTTCTCGGTCCCTGCTCCTGCCAACCTAGCAGTTTGAAAGCACGTCAAAGTGCAAGTAGATAAATAGGTACCGCTCTGGTGGGAAGGCAAACGGTGTTTCCGTGTGCTGCTCTGGTTTCGCCAGAAGCGGCTTAGTCATGCTGGCCACATGACTGTATGCCGGCTTCCTCGGCCAGTAAAGCGAGATGAGCGCCGCAACCCCAGAGTTGGCCACGACTGGACCTAATGGTCAGGGGTCCCTTTACCCTTTACCTTACTCTGCCACAAGAAACAAGTGACTGTGTCACCTAAGGGCTTCTCTGAGTCCACATCTGCAAGAGAGGCCTGCCTGCTGTACCTCTGTCTGATTCACTGGTCTTGGTTCCTTATGCAAAGCCTGCCCTGTATTTAGGGGATTTCTGTCTTATACCCATGCGGGGTCTGACCAGATCATTAACATCCCCAGCAGAATCACCCTCCCTCTGCGGAGGCTGCCATTTTTTGTTAAGTCTATTTATATTTATATCTGACTCTTTGTATTAGTGACAATGTTCAGGGCAGCGCGCGTGTGTGTGTGTGTGTGTGTGTGTGTGTGTGTTTTAAACCATCATAAACATTTTAATAATACTAATTAGAGAGGGGTGAAAGCAGATAAAGCAAAGGCTGAGTTCAACACATTCCTCCAGCTTCAGGTCATGGCCAGCTTCAAGCCAAATTGAGAAAAAAAGAACAACTAGCTATGTTTTAAGTTGGTAACATGTACACAGCGTGTTGTTGGATGTGTCCTAATCTGTTTTATTTTCATTTCCAGGGTGGCATGGAGATTATATTGTCAAGGGCGGGACCTGTCTCAATATGTTGCAGGATGCAATGTGTAGAGAAACACTGCCCCCTGGTGTCAGCAGGGATGCTAATAAACCAAGTCCACACTCATTATTAGGGTTATTATCTGGCAAGAAACAGCTCTGCTGAGTTCCAGGAATAAATGCATTAAAACACAGTTGAGACCTGTCTTTACACTGGAGGGGGTGCACCTTGGGAGGAGCTGCTACAAGGATGCCCTAGGCAGGTGAACTCCTGGGTTATTCGTGCAGGTTGCAGAAAGGTGGTAGGAACTATTAGAAGATGACCTGCTCATGGAGCCATTGTTATTGTTGCTGTTCTTGTTTACATTTCTGGCTTGCCTTCCACCAGCAAGTCCCACAGCAGCTTATAACAATTTAAAACTCAGTCACAGGAATAGGGGGGGCCCCGAGAAGACACATCCCAGTGCCAAAGGTCAGGGTAGAGAAGTGTGTGTCTTCAGCACTCGCTGAATATATACATAAATATAGGATAGGGGACACCTGGATTACTAGCAGTACATGTGAAAAGGATTTGGGGTCTTGGTGGACCACAAGTTTAGCATGAGTCAACAGTGTGATGCAGCAGGAAAAGAAAAAAAAAGCTAATGCTATTCTAGGCTGCATCAACCGAAGTATAGTACAGTGGTACCTCGGGTTCAGGCGCTTCAGGTTACAGACTCCGCTAACCCAGAAATAGTACCTCGGGTTAAGAACTTTGCTTCAGGATGAGAACAGAAATCGTGCTCTGGCGGCAGCGGGAGGCCCCATTAGCTAAAGTGGTGCTTCAGGTTAAGAACAATTTCAGGTTAAGAACGGACCTCCAGAATGAATTAAGTTCTTAACGTGAGGTACCACTGTATACCCATTTCCTTGCTCCAAGTTTGAAACATTCAAAACTTCTTGTAAGGACAATTTGGTGAGGGGGGTGTAGGGATGGCAGAGAGGGAAGGGTTTAGGCACCCCCCCCCACTGCCTTTCAGGGCTCTGTCTTCAGCCACTCTCCAATCTAAACAAAAAGGGCCATTCATGCATAGGTTGGTCCCACAGTTCCACCTCCAGTCCCCTTGAGCTCAAACAATGTGTGTGCTTACCAGGGCCAGATTTAGGTTTGATGAGGCCCTAAGCTACTGAAGGTAATGGGGCTCTTTATATAGCAGGCGGGGCCCATTACTAACATCATAGGAGCCTACAAACTAAAACACTGTTGCTGTATGTAGGTTTTATTTTGCTTGTTTTTTATCTTCTATTTTGGAAATGTACATACAGTCCCCCCCCCTTAAAGTCTTTTGGGGGGTGGGGCCCTAAGCTATAGCTTGTTTAGCTTATACGTAAATCTGGCACTGGTGCTTACCATTCTAAAAGCTCTTGTGGACCACAGCCAGCCATGGGCAAGCTAAAAAAGGAAAAGGCGTATCAAGTTTATTCATGACGTTATTCAGAAATTTAGGCGCAGGTGAAACAACCTGGGAGCCCAGCTGCACTCCCATCTTGCAGAGCAGGCAAATGCACAGGATGCCCTCTCACCCTTTGCACGGGGCACCTGAGAACAGAGACGACGTGGGGGTGAAGTATGCACCCTTGGGCTACCTCGACCTGGAAGAGGTGGGGTCTGCCTCAAGGGTGCCTTTCTTGGGGGCCCTCACTGTGTGACAGAGCACATGCTGTACAAGCAGAAGGTCCCAGCTTCAAATCTACACTTAGGACTCAGAGCGGCCACGACTGGACCTAATGGTCAGGGGTCCCTTTACCCTTTACCTTTTTACACTCATCAATTATATCATTATAACTGCATTATAAACATGTGACACCAGATGGCGTTGTAGAGCTGTGATCTGTCACCAGGGGGATTTTGCATTGAGAGCTTTTATAGCATTTTTTTCCCTACAGCGTTTTTTAACAATGTAGATCCAGTCTAAGAAGGGATCACGAGCTGATACTGAGAAAGACCATTGCCCAACACACCTCGGAGAGCCACTGACAGTAATAATAAGCAACACCTGGTTGACACCACATTTGGGTCCCCTCCACAATGCAGGAACAAGCACCAATGCCCGTCCTTAAGCAAGTTCAGGCCTCCATTCGGAGTGAGCTCCGTGGAAGCCTCACATCTGACCCACATCTCACTCCCCGCAAGAGGGGAGTGAGATATTGAGAGGCAGGGGCAGCCCACAGGATTCTGGAACATGGTTCTGTTTCCCAATATACTTGTACAGCGGTCACACTTCTCCATGCATTTTACTGCTTAAATCTGACTTACTAGATTCTATTCCTTTTTTTAGTTTTAATAGAAATGTTTGGATCATGTTTTTATCATTTTATATTTTGTGATTGTATCAGCGGTGGGTGAACCATCTTTAGTCATAATTTTTTCTGCACCACCTTGATATCAAACATTTAATTAATGAAGGGCAGCTTAAAATTCTTCACAAATAAAGAAAGGTGTCCTACTTCACATACAACAGCCATTCATTGGAAGCACTGCCTGGTCCCGAGCCACTAGAAGAACTATAAGGAAGGAGAGGGCCTTGAAGTTGTTCAACAGCTGGCAACATCTGGACAGCAGATGAACAAGCATTCAAGTCAATGTAAAGATCTCCACCGCATTCCCAGAAGCCTGCTTTTAAATTTGAAAGCATAGCTTTCTGAATAAACATACTTGCAGTCATCAGAAACAGACTGTGACTGAGGAGTGCATGCTAGAGATTATGAAAACCTGGCTAAGAAAGGCATAAACTTACCATAAAAAACCACAGCTCCACTATAGAGGGAATGAGACTTATTCAAGGCTTCAAATTATTAAAGATACTTCTGTGTCCTTGTCTCACTGCATGTCCAATCCAACTTGGGCATCCTTGCCATTTGTTAGGACGTAGGGTGCTGCAACAAAATGTAGCAGTGTGTCCCTGATGTGCATATGTGAGCTGGGCCTGTGGCTGAGGGCCCTGGCAAATAAAAGTTAGAACCAAAGACAGGAGATTTTGCTCAAACTTGGATCTATTCTTAGTACTTTTACTATTTTGCATTTAAAGTATTTGCCTATTATTCAAAGCCTTATTACAAGGGTACCCACTCTACATGAACTCAACAGAGCATGAGGCTTCAGAATGGAACTGATTACTGTATTTTTCGCTCTATTGGACGCAGTTTTCCCCCTCCAAAAATTGAGGGGAAATGTGTGTGCGGCCTATGGAGCAAATGCAGGCTTGTGCCCTACGGCAGGGAGAGGCTGCACGGGGCTATGGCTTCTTTAGCCCTGCGCAGCCGCTCCCAGCAGGGAGAGGTTGCGCGGGGCTAAAGAGGAAGGCAAAGCAGCCAGCGGGATCCATCCCGCTCACTGCATTGGCTTGTGCCATAGTCGCGCGCAACCCCTCCGGCAGGGAGAGGTTGTGCGCAGCCTGTACACTGCTCTTTGGGGCTGGGGGAGGGAAGATTTTTTTTATTGATTTCCCCGTCTAAAAACTAGGTGTGGCCTATGGTCCGGTGCGCCCTATGGTGCGAAAAATACGGTACTTGCTTTGGTCTGGGGGAAAATCAGGGAGGGTGCAACTGTATAACTACTCTCACTGCCCTGCAGGGATAGCATGATGGAATATTAATATTAATTATTTAATAAGTCACTCTTTCCCAACCACATCCGACCTACAGTATGAACTGCATTTGCTATGGAATTTGGATCACCAGCCTTTTCTTATACAAAGGGTGGGGGCTCCAGTCCCTTTAATGCATGTGTAGCAGCAGGAATATTAGATGATGATGATGATGATTTCTATACTGCTCTATAGATTTCAGGGCTGTTTACAATAAAAACACAAAGTACACACAAAGTACCACCTATTGAACTTCTACACAGCTATTAAAGGGACAGGAGTCTTGCCTTCTTTTGCCCCTTGAGATGACTCTATTAATTTCTATGAACATCTCTCACCTCCATCCCTTGAGTCATCTCAGAATAGATTCTCAGTGTGCAGTAGGAAATGACCTGGGATCTTTCCCTCTGACCTTCTGTTCCAGCTACTCCTGCACACACAGGCCAAAGGTGTCATAGAAAGTTGCATTGTTTTGTTTCTAGGCTGCCAAATGGTGGTAGTGACGTAACTGGAACTTGGGGGAATTGACTGCATTGCTGGACATGCTCACTGCGCTGCCATGATGGCTCCCCCTGCTCCATTGGAATAGGAAAGATGCAGCGGGAACAGAATTGCTCTGAGCAGCAGGAGGGCAAGAAATAATTAAAAAAGCAAGACATTTTTAAAAGGGGGGCAGGCTCTTCCTCCACAGAGCTGCTGCAGATAGCAAAACCAGGCTAACTAAAGGATTTAATTCTGAAAACATTTCAGCTGCATGCATATAAGACAAATTATGTTCCCCAAAGAATCCTGAGAACTGTAGTTTTTTAAGGGTGCTGGGAATTGTAGCTCTCAGGGACGCAGGTGGCGCTGTGGGTTAAACCACAGAGCCTAGAGCTTGCCGATCAGAAGGTCAGCGGTTCGAATCCCCGCAACGGGGTGAGCTCCCGTTGCTCGGTCCCTGCTCCTGCCAACCTAGCAGTTTGAAAGCATGCCAAAAAAAAAAAGTGCAAGTAGATAAATAGGTACCACTCCGGCGGGAAGGTTAATGGCATTTCCGTGCACTGCTCTGGTTTGCCAGAAGGGTCAAGATAGATCCAATGTTAAAAACTACAGACCAATCTCCCTACTCAATGTGGATTATAAAAATTTTGCAAATATACTGGCCAACAGGCTAAAGAAGGTTTTATCTGAGTATATTCATAAAGACCAGGCAGGATTTCTGCCTGGAAGACATATGAAATACAACATTAGAAGCAAGAAAGAGCTGTAAAGCAATGTTAATGTTTATTGATGCAGAGAAAGCCTTTGACAATGTTTCTTGGAGTTTTATGTTACATAATTTAGAGAGTATGGGGATAGGTCAGGATTTTATAAATGTTATTAAAGCGATCTATCTAGAACAAAAAGCTAAAATTATTGTAAATTAGAATTGAGAAGGGAACCAGGCAAGGGTGCCCACTTTCCCCTCTGCTGTTTATTTCAGTACTGGAGTTCTTGCTGAGTATGATTAGAAAAGATGAATAAGTTAAAGGTATTACAGTAGGTTCGAAACAATACAAATTAAAACCCTTTGCTGATGATCTAGTTCTGACATTACAAGATCCAGACTCCAGTGCAGTCAAACCACTGGAGCTGATATAAGAGTTTGGTCAGGTAGCAGGATTTAAATTAAACAAGAGCAAGACCAAAGTAATTGAGAAAAATCTGGATAATGAAGAAAGGAAACTATTACAAGAAAAAACGGGCCTAGACTTTGTGAAAAAAATTAAATATTTGGGGGTGAACCTGTCTGGAAAAATGTGAATTTATATAAAGATAATTATGAGAAATTATGGAATGAAATTAGGAGATTTAGAGATATGGTCAAACCTAAAATTGTCATTAATGGGCCGGATTTCTGTGATTAAGATGAATGTGCTGCCAAAGATGCTCTTCTTGTTTCAAGCCCTCCCAGTTATAGATAATGCGAAATGCTTTAAAGAATGGCAAAAAGCACTCTCTAGATTTATCTGGCAGGGGAGGAAACCCAGAATTAAATATAAATTACTTACGGATTCTAAAGAAAGAGGGGGATTCTCCCTGCCAGATTTAAAAATCTATTTTGAAGCTGCTGCTCTTTGTTGGATTAAAGAATGGGTGCAATTAGAAGATACAGATCTATTAGATTTGGAGGGATTTGACAATGTGTTCAGTTGGCATGCATATTTATGGTATGACAAGGTAAAGGCTCATAACGCATTTAAAAACCATGTAATTAGGAAATCGTTGTATAATGTTTGGATAAAATATAAAGATCTCTTAGAAAGAAAGACGCTCAGATGGCTTTCACCAATGGAGACAAAGGCCCAGAAAAAATTAAATATGTGTGGTATGACAAGGTTAAAGTACATAAAGTATTCAAAAATCATATTGTCAGGAAAGCATTGTTTAATGTCTGGATTAGATATAAGGATTTATTGGAGAACAAAACCCCAAGGTGGTTGTCACCAATGGAAGCAAAAGCTCAGAAAAAGCTCAATATGGAGGCCAAATGGCCGAAATACAGTATTGGGAAATTCTGGAACAAGAAGGAGACAGATTGAAACTGCAGAGTTATGAGAAACTAAAAGACAAAGTGCGAGATTGGCTTCATTATTATCAGATAATGGAGGCTTACAATATAGATAAGAAAGTTGGCTTCCAGGTGGAAAAATCTAAATTGGAAACAGAACTGTTAGAATCTAAAACTAAGATTTTGTCAAAAATGTATAACTTGCTGCTGAAATGGAATACTCAGGACGAGACGGTTAAATCTGCTATGATTAAATGGGCACAAGATGTGGGACATAACATTATGTTTGCTGACTGGGAACAGTTGTGGTCCACTGGTATGAAATTTACGGCATGTAATGCCTTAAGAGAAAATATTATGAAAATGATATATAGGTGGTACATGACCCCAGTCAAGCTTGCAAAAATTTACCATTTGCCCGATAATAAATGCTGGAAATGTAAGGAATATGAAGGTACATTCTTCCACCTTTGGTGGACGTGCCCAAGGATTAAGGCTTTCTGGGAGATGATCTATAATGAACTGAAAAAGGTATTTAAATATACCTTCCTGAAGAAACCAGAGGCCTTTCTCCTGGGCATGGTCGGCCAATTGGTGTCAAAGAAGGATAGAACTTTATGTATGCTACAACAGCTGCAAGAATACTTATCGCAAAGTACTGGAAGGTGCAAGATTTACCCACTCTGGAAGAATGGCAGATGAAGATGATCGATTGTATGGGATCGGCAGAAATGACTGGCAGGATCCGAGACCAGGGAGAAGAGTCGGCGGAAGAAGATTGGAAGAAATTTAAGGACTATTTACGGAAACATTGCAAAATTAATGAGTTTTGAATGATGCTGGATAGAAATTAAGGGGTTTATAGCTGTAATGTGATATGGGGGGGAATAGGGTATAGAAACAGGTTAAATTTATGGATAAGGATTTGCTGAACTAACAATTTAAATTGGAATACAAGAAGGGGAGGTATGAGGAAGTCAGTGAAATATTTTATTGAAAAATAGGTATTGTGAAACTTATGTGTTTTTAAACCTTTTTGCTTTTTGCTTTTTTGATTCTTTTTTATTGTATTAAATTTGAAAACTTTAATAAATATCTTTTAAAAAAGAAAAAAGAAAAAATTAAATATGGACACGAAATGGTTGAGATATTATGATTTATTAATAGAAGAAGAGGAAGGTTACAAATTAAAACCATTTGATCAAGTTAAAGATAAGCTAAATTGGTTACATTACCACCAGATCAATGAATTGGATAAATTGGATAAGAAAAATGGTTTTGCTTTTGAAAAATCTAAGTTGGAAACGGAATTGTTGGATACTAAAGGTAAAAATTTATCTAAAATGTACAAGCTATTGTTGGAGTGGCATACAAAAGATTAACAAGTTAAATCTGTGGTGATAGATTGGGCAAGAGATGTAGGACATAATATAATGTTTGAGGATTGGGAAAGATTGTGGAAGAAAGGGGTCAAGTTCACTGCATGTACTTTGTTAAAGGAAAATATAATGAAAATGATGTATAGATGGTATTTGACTCCTGTAAAATTAGCAAAGATATATCATAATTGTGACAATATATGTTGGAAATGTAAAGAAAAGGAAGTAACCTTTTATCATATGTGGTGGACCTGTCCCAAGGTGAAAGACTTCTGGGAAAAGATTTATAATGAATTGAAAAAAATGTTGAAATATACATTTATAAAGAAACCAGAGGCCTTTCTTCTTGGAATAACAGGTTTGGAATTGCCCAAGAAAGATGTTAAATTATTTTTGTATGCCACAACTGCTGCTCATATTTTGTTAGCTAAAAAGTGGAAAACCCAAGAATTACCAAGAATAGAAGAATGGCAGATGAAGATGATGGATTTTTCGGAGCTTGCCAACCTAACCCGAAGAGTCCGCGACCAGAAGGAGGAGGAGTATCAGGAAGATTGGAATAAATTTAATGATTATTTAGTTAAATTTGTTAAGTTAAACTAACTGAAAATAGCTTGCAGATACTTAATGGTCTTAGGATTTTATTTATGTTAAGTGATGAATTAATATGTTTAATTCCATAAGGTGAAGATCTAAGGATGTTAATGTTTAAGTTAAATTTCATAAAAATTGGGATTTGGAAAACTGTTAAAAGGACATGCAATGAAATTCAACCAAGGGGAAGCGAGGAAGTCACTTAAAGTTAATAACTGTAATTTTCAATAAGGCTATGATTTATATTTGTCTTGTGTGTTTGTTTGTTTATAATATTGTGAAAACTAATAAAAAAAATTGGGGGGAAAAAGAAGCGGCTTAGTCCTGCTGGCCACATGACCCGGAAGCTATATGCCGGCTCCCTCTGCCAATAAAGCGAGATGAGCGCCGCAACCCCAGAGTCGGCCACGACTGGACCCAATGGTCAGGGGTCCCTTTACCTTTACCTTTAGGAGTAAATGACAGTTCCCAGGATTATTTGGGGGAAGCCACGTGCTTGAAATTTATGGTTTGTGTGCAGCCAAAATGTTACTTTAAATATTCTCCATACAGCTTTCCCATTGAAACTGGGGTGTTTTCCAGCAGCAGCAGTGACCCTTTCCCCCACAAGTGTCCCTACTCTAAACCTATCCACACACACAAAGAGGCAGAAGGCATTTTTCAGAGACAAAAAAAATATTCACCATTTTATTTAAGTTGCGTTAATTATGCTAAAAAGGCAAGGAGCTCTCTTCCTCTTTGTCGTAAAAAAGGTAGCCATCATTTTCAGGCACCTAAGAGGTAGAAAGGATCTGCCAGAAGACAGCCAGGAAGCAGTCCTTGCCTGCCTTGATAAGCAGGAATAGTCTTCAAAGTGACAACGGACCAGGGTGGTCCAGAATCTGAGCAGCCATAGCTATGTTTCTTCAGGGGTGAGCCACCTGCCATCCAGTCCATGTGGCCCCCTTGGAAGGACACCACTCCCCATAACATCACAGGAGGGGGCATTCCTCAAGAGGTCTGCGCTCACTCAGCTTCCGCTTGGTGATCTCCAGACGGACCCCGTGGTAGACAAGACCCTTCCAGAGCCCACCTTTGTTCAGCATCACCACATCCCCATTTGATTTCACCTTTTGGATGACAGCTGTGAATGACACAGTAGCCGTAGAATTTCTGTGGACAACAAGCTTGGCCAAGACTTCAGTGTGGGGGGGCACCAGCACCTCCTGGGTGAGCCTCTGAGAAATATTCCTCTGCACAAGGACGGTCCGGTCATTGTTCTTCGTGTACTCCAAACGAGGCATTGCATCTTCAACAGTGAAGTGGCAGGAAGTTTCCACACCAAGCCCCCACAGACTGTTCCAGAAAACGGTGTCTGCAACGGTCGACTCCCAAGTCATGTCGAAAGTGTGCCTCACTGCTGCTTCCCCCCGGTTGGCGTAGACCTGCTTATCCAAGACAGAGTGGTGGTATATCATGTGAGAGAGATCGCTTGTGATCACCCTCAGTATTTTGAACTTTGGGGGGAGGAGGTCTCCGATCAGGGGACGGAAATAACAGGAATCATCAGCGACCAACTTGGCTGCTTCAACTGAAGTGAACCCTCTATATGTCCTGGTCAAGAACAGCCCATTGTAGGCCTGGAAAGCTACCCTATTGCCCTTGTAAAAGACCTCAAACTGTAAAGATGGATCTTCTGAGTACTGAACAGGCTGGATGGGGAAGTTTACTGGGTTTTCTCCTATAGCCACTGCAGCGAGATACTTCCCTGCCCAGTTTCTCAGCATAACCTTTCCCATAGGCAGACAAGTGACCCAGAATTTGCTAGATGCCAACTTTTCAGTTAGACCCTGTATGGCCCATGTGTATTGGCCATCCAATGAGTCCCAGATCAGGTTGTTATCCATCTGGAAAGCCACACCTTCTTCTGCATCGATGTAGGCTTCAAGTTGGCCCAGGCCTTTGGAGACTTTCCGCAAGCAAAGCTGAAACAATAATAGATGCAAACTCATTTCAGGGGTGTAGTGCAAGCTTGTGGATTGGTTATTCCCAGTAGACTCCCAATCCAGCGTCTGCCATCTCTGGTCCTGATCTTTAAATCAGACTTTGGACAAAAACATCTGGTGCCCTCCAGATGTTGCAGGACTACAACTCCCATCCTCCCTGTCATGCTGGTTGGGTCTTTTTAGAGTTATAACTTGAAAACATCTGCAATACAGCAGGTTGGACAAGGTCCAACAAACATTCAGTAACAGGTTGTCTTACCGCCATGGAGTTCATTGAGCTCCATGGCCGAAGGAGGATGTAAATCTGGGTGCTCCCCCTCAGGATGGGAGCCCTGTCCCTCCAGTTGTTGTGGGGCTCCAAGCATCCATCAGCTTCAGCCAATATGCACCAGAATGAGTCCACTGCTCTAGTGCCAGTGGGGCAGCTCCCTCCTGTGTCAGCCACGCCTGCTGGGCTGGATGAACCAGTGGGACAAGACACTGCCTCAGCAAAACCATTAAAAGCTATTAGGTTAACCTTCTCAGAAGTTTTGAAACTTACCCTGAGACCCCTGACCCTAGTTCAAGCATGCATGTAGGACACAGGTTGGTGAGTCCCAAAAATGGAGCACTCTGCACATGCTCCACACCCATCAAGTGGGGACACTCCATGATCCCAAACATGCTTACTTGAAATTAAACCTCAGTGAAGTGCAATCAGATCTGCTTAGGTCTGCAGTCTTTAATAGCCCATTTTCAACCTGCCTCTAATTAAGCAATTTGATCTGCTAAGAGGCAAAAAAAAAAAAAAAGTTTGCCAACACCCTGAAATTGTATAGATAATCACTGCAGATAGGAAGAGGAGCAGTGGCATAACTACAACATGGGTGTCACCAAAGACATGCTTATTCAGGTCACAATTCTTTTCTTTGGTACTCTGGGCTCCACCACGCTTGCCTTTTGTACCGTGCTTTCTAGACGACAGGTCTGTGCTTTAAAGTTCTGTGTCCAAGCGCTACACACACACACACACACACACACACACACACACACACACCTGGCACTTTCCCCAGGAAGACCTGCTCTTTAATGATGAATCAGAACACATGACAATTCAGGTTTTTCAAAGATTGCCATTTCCTTAGAATCAGCAGTAAAAAGCGGGTTTTCGTGGGGAACGTGCCAGGGTAAAAAAACAGAAAGCACTTGGAAGCCCAGACCTGTGCCTAGAAATGTGGCACAAAAGCAAGTCTGGATGAGCCTGAAGACAGAGAAAACATCAGCTCTCAGAAGCTTTCAACATCCAGGGCCAAACCACATCCTAGACACTGTCTCTCTTGCACCAGAAACCATTCTCCAAACGACCATCAGTAGAAAGGCAAGTGTTTGGTCTCACAGTTCCACCAATTTAGCCAGGACCGGATTTAGGTTTGATGAGGCCCTAAGCTCCTGAAGGTAATGGGGCCATTTAGATGTCCAGCTGTCCTTTGTCAACAACAAATTGTCGCTGTTTTTGTGTGTTGAATATGCTATAGGGTAATTTATGGACCTAACAGGTATCTAAAGCCATTTGCACATAACAAAATATATTTTATCAAAGTAATTGTTGAACTGAAATACAGTTCAGAAGAAGTATATTAATAGTGGAAATTTTGCGGGGGCCCTCAAGAGAGTGGGGCCCTAAGCTATGCCTTGTTTAGCATATACATAAATCCGGCACTGAATTCAGCCCTCAGTTCACCTTAAAATCAAATGTTTTTTTTATGTTGTTACCAATTTAGAAGCTTTAATGGTCCCTCTCAGTGAGTCCCTGGTAAGCTAGACAAGAAAGGTGTGTCAGGTTCATCCACAACACTGTTGAGAACCATAATGAGTTGCAGCCCCATCCTGTGCAGCAAGGCAAGCTCCACAGAGCTGCAAGTCTGGGCTTCTGCCATGACTTGCAAGAGCAGGACCATGCTAGCATCCCACTCTGAAAGAGATTGCACCCAAAGATTTGATGCCAGAAAATGGTGGTGGTGGTAAAACCAGGCAGAAAAATTTACAAAGCAGAAGCTACCCAAAATAGTACTATAAAACTCCTACATGGCTTCAAAGGATTAGAGATTGCAAAAGCATAATGGGGGGGGGGGGAGATACTTACCATGAACAAGCTACCACAAGGCCCACCTACAAATCCTTCCTGGCAGAAGACACTGGGTGGAGAGGTGGGGAAACCAAGCTTCCTTATCAAGGGCCTTTTATACCCCTCAAGACCAATTTCAATGAGATGCAAAGGGACACAGCTGATTGCAATTGAAACCACACACTCTACCTCTGATGGGATGAGAATGAGAGGGAGGTCCCCAATGGATGCATCATATTATATTTTAAGGTTTGACAAAATGTACTTTTGTGTCTTTGTGCAAGGACACAAATGTTGGCAAATCTGACCTAGCTTAGGCATCCTGGCATTAGTTGGGACTTGGACGTTGCATCAAAATGTTGCAGTGTAACAGTAACTGGGCACAATAGGGACCAATGTCAGGTTCTGCACTTAGGCAGGAAGAACCAGATGCACAAATATAGGCTAGGGCAGTGTTCCCCAACCTTGGGCCTCCAGCTGTTTTTGGACTACAATTCCCATCATCCTTGACCACTGGCCTTGCTAGTGAGGGATGATGGGAGTTGTAGTCCAAAAACAGCTGGAGGCCCAAGGTTGGGGAACACTGGGCTAGGGGACACCTGGGTTACTAGCAGTACATGTGAAAAGGATCTAGGGGTCCTAGTAGACCACATGCTTAACACGAGTCAGCTGTGTGATACAGCAACAAAAAAAGGTAATGCTATTCTTAGCTGCATCAACATAAGTCTAGTGTTCAGATCAAGGGAAGTAATTCCTTCTGCATTGGTCGGATCACATATGGAGCCAAGTGTCCAGTTCTGGGCACCACAGTTTAAGAAGGACAGGCTGGAACATGTGCAGAGGAGGGCGACCAGGATGAACCAGGGTCTGGAAACTAAGCCTTATGAGGAGTGCTTGAAGGAGCTGGGTACGTTTAGCCTGGAACAGAAGAGACTGAGAGGAGATATGATAGCCATCTTCAACGATCTCAAGGGCTGTCACATGGAGGAGGGAGCGAGCTTGTTTTCTCCTGCTCTGGAAGGTAGGACTCAAACCAATGGCTTCAAGTAGCAACAAAGGAGATTCCAACAAAACATTAGGAAAAACTTTCTGACCGTAAGAGCTGTTCAGCAATGGAACATTCTCCCTCAGAGGGTGGTGGACTCTCCTTCCTTTGACATTCTTAAGCAGAGGTGAGATGGCCATCTGTCATGGATGCTTTAGTTGAGATTCCTTCATTGCAGGTGGTTGGACTAGATGAACCTTGGGGTCCCTGGGCTTGCGGCTGAGGGCAGGGGTTCCTGCTCTAACTTGAGCCTCCAATTACAATGTTGGGTCCAGGTCCAGAAGTACCCTCAAGCTTTGACCCCACTCCTTGCAAGGGAGTGCACCTCCTAAACTTGAAGTACTTGGAACATATAATGCCTCTGTCTTGCCAGGATTCAGTTTCAATTTATATATTATTCAAAGTCTTGTCAAAAGGGAAACTGCTCTACATGAAATCATTAGAGCAGGAGGCTTCTGCATGTCACTGATTGCTTTCTTAGGCCTGGGAAGAGAATGGAAGGAACAATTTAACATTATCTTAAAAAACAAAACAAGGCAGTCTAAGCAATATATAACATATAACTATACAGTGTATAATATAATTAGGTTTAAGTTGTGACATCCACAGGCAACATAAATGGCTTTAGCACTGAGATCTAAAGTATTGTTGCACCTGGCCCCATCTCCAGGTGGTCCTAGGTTCCAGGGGTTTGTGTTTCCTTTAAGAATGAGTAATTTTGTATGAAAACTGTTCTAATGCAAGTTTACTAAGAAGTAAGTCCTACTATATGCCATAGGATTCACTTACAAGTAGGACTGAGGGAGAAAGTTGATTCAGTACACATTTAAAGGTAAACTTACCTAATTTGCAAACCAAAACGCAGGCTGTGCTTTGAAATTCACACTTCTCCACTTAATTTGGTCATAAATAATGTGTACAAAAATGCACATACTAGGGGAAAGTGTGCATAAAAATGCATATATTATTGAATATAATATACCAAAATGCATTGCATTAGGGGAAATTGCTTTGCAAAAATGCATATATTAGGAGAAAATTGCATTAAATTGCTGAAGACATTTTTTAAAAATGCAAGATCTGAAAAAAGAGACAATGCACATACTTTTGTTACCCAAAACAAAAAAAATTCCTTCCAGTAGCACCTTAAAGACCAACTAACTTAGTTGGTCTTTAAGGTGCTACTGGAAGGAATTTTGTTACCCAAGAAAATCTTTAATATATATATATATTAATGCAAACTGCTGTGGAAATATGGAGAACTTAAAATTGGGAAAATGAAAAAATGAGAGAAACCAAAATTGACAGCTTCATTCATCCTTACTGCATAGTGGACTGCAGCCTGCTGAAACCTTTTGGCAAGGATGTTGCTCTTTTTTGGGCACCAGAATTTCTCTGGCCTTAAGCAGCCATTCTCTCCACAACTGAGTCACCTTCCATTGCTGGCTCCTCCTCCTTCAGCTTCTAGTCAGTGTCATCGGGAAAGGCTGATAAGGAAAAAATATTGGGGTGGGGGATTACTCCGTTGCCCGGCTTGTTGGGGTGCCACTCCCCATGAGTCCCTCTGGGCAGCAAAAGAAGGAGTCTCCAGTTAGATTAAAGAAGCAAAACAGCAGTCAGTAAACCTGATCTTTATTTGTTGCAACAAGGTTCAAATACACAAAGAGTAGGAACCCCGAGTGTGGGGCTGCGTGGACTTTTAAGACTCCCTCCCCCTTTCCCATAATACATTTCCAATAGCAGCATCAATACATCACAGATATGACACAGAAGAGGAGTGGTTGGCATAAAGAAACATGAAACTGTCACCCACCCCTGTCAGTAACCCCAGTTTCCCTCACCCTTTTAACTACCCTCTTCCTCAAAGAACAATAGAAGCCTTTGCTCAAGCCCCCTAGCTGCAAGGCTTTCCTGCGCTTCTCCTTTGAAAGTATCAGGATTCGACCCGCCGTCCCGATGGGTTTCTGCCAGGGTTTCTGCTGCCTTTGATCGCCTCCTGAGGCAGGGGAGACCTTGATCCCCCCCCCTCTTCTGGAGGAGTCATTAGCCCTTGGAGCCAAGGAAATCCGTCAAACCATTGAATTTTGGCAATTATTTGAAGTTTTTACAGTTTTCTATATTGGATCTGAAGAAATGTGCATGCACACGAAGGCTCATACCAATAACAAATTTAGCTGGTCTCTAAGGACGCGGGTGGCGCTGTGGGTTAAACCACAGAGCCTAGGACTTGCTGATCAGAAGGTTGGCGGTTCGAATCCCCGCGACGGGGTGAGCTCCCGTTGCTCGGTCCCAGCTCCTGCCAACCTAGCAGTTCAAAAGCATGAAGTGCAAGTAGATAAATCGGTACCGCTCCGGCGGGAAGGTAAACGGCATTTCCGTGCGCTGCTCCGGTTCACCAGAAGCGGCTTAGTCATGCTGGCCACATGACCCGGAAGCTGTACGCCGGCTCCCTCGGCCAATAAAGCGAGATGAGCGCCACAACCCCAGAGTCGGTCACGACTGGACCTAATGGTCAGGGGTCCCTTTACCTTAAGGTGCTGCTATGGGACGCGGGTGGCGCTGTAGGTAAAAGCCTCAGCGCCTAGGGCTTGCCAATCGAAAGGTCGGCGGTTCGAATCCCCGTGGCGGGGTGCGCTCCCGCTGCTCGGTCCCAGCGCCTGCCAACCTAGCAGTTCGAAAGCACCCCCGGGTACAAGTAGATAAATAGGGACCGCTTACCAGCGGGAAGGTAAACGGCGTTCCGTGTGCTGCGCTGGCTCGCCAGATGCAGCTTTGTGACCCGGAAGTGTCTGCGGACAGCGCTGGCCCCCGGCCTCTTGAGTGAGATGGGCGCACAACCCCAGAGTCTGTCAAGACTGGCCCGTACGGGCAGGGGTACCTTTACCTTTACCTTTAAGGTGCTGCTGGAAGGATTTTTTTTTATTTTGTTTCTATATTGGATAGGAAACAGAGGATACACGGTATCCACTTCAATTTTATAGACTGCTTTTCTGAGCCTCTTCAGGCTCATTGTTCTGACCTTAGTTCAAGGCTGTGGGGGGGACTTGGAATTTTGAGGGAGTTGTTTAACTGCCCCCCCAACCCTGGTTTTAACAGTTCCCTCCTTTGGAGAGAAATTTGCTTAGGTTCTGCAGGAACCACAAATATTTTCTCTGCATTTAACTACAGTTCAGACATAGATACTACATTGGAACCTTGGTACTCAAACGCCTTGGTTCCCAAATGCCGAAAACCCAAAAGTAAGTTCTGGTTTTCGAATGCTTTTCCGAAGGCAAACATCCTATGTGGCTGTCGGCTATTGTTTCCGGGCCGCCTGCACCAATCAGAAGCTGTGCCTTATTTTTTGAATATTTCAGGTCAAACAGACTTCTGGAATGCATTAAGTTTGACCTTTTTGTTTTTGAGGATTGTTTGCGTATTTTGTTTTGTGACTGTGTGGAACCCAGTTCGGCTATTGATTGATTGATTGTGTGACTGTGGAAATGGATAAAGGCCCCCCATCCAAAGAATGACTACATCATTGTAGGTAAGATTTTTTTTTTTAATTTTTATCATCTGCAATACTGTCTTATTTATTTTATAGTAAGTAAAGGTAAAGGTACCCCTGCCCGTACGGGCCAGTCTTGACAGACTCTAGGGTTGTGCGCCCATCTCACTCAAGAGGTCGGGAGCCAGCGCTGTCCGGAGACACTTTCGGGTCACATGGCCAGCGTGACAAGCTGCATCTGGCGAGCCAGTGCAGCACACGGAACGCTGTTTACCTTCCCGTTGGTAAGCGGTCCCTATTTATCTACTTGCACCCGGGGGTGCTTTCGAACTGCTAGGTTGGCAGGCACTGGGACCGTGCAACGGGAGCGCACCCCGCCGCGGGGATTCGAACCACCCACCATGCGATCGGCAAGTCCTAGGCGCTGAGGTTTTACCCACAGCGCCACCCGCGTTGTACAGTAGTACAGTACAGTATAGTACAGTACATTTATTATTGCTTTCATTTTATGGATCAATGGTCTTGTTAATATAATAATAATAATAATAATAATAATAATAATAATAATAATAATAATAATAAATTTTATTTATATCCCGCCCTCCCCAGCCGAAGCTGGGCTCAGGGCGGCTAACAACAATCAAAACAGTCCGACATTCTAAAAATATTCATGATAAAATTAATTAAATCAAATTAAATCAAATTAATGGCAACCATCAAGCAAAATTCTGTGCAGATTGCCAGAGGAGGGGGTCAGGCTGCGCCCTGACCAAAGGCCTGGTGGAACAGCTCTGTCTTGCAGGCCCTGCGGAAGGATGTCAGGTCCTGCAGGGCCCTAGTCTCTTGTGACAGAGTGTTCCACCAGATTGGAGCCGCGACTGAGAAGGCCCTGGCTCTAGTTGAGGCCAGCCTAACCTCTTTGTGGCCTGGGATCTTTAGGATGTTTTTTAAATGTTAGTAAAATTCATCTTAAATTGATGTTTTAGGGGTTGTTTTTAAATGTCTGGAATGGATTAATCCATTTTGCATTACTTTCTATGGGAAAGCACACCTTGATTTTGGAAGGCTTTGGTTTTGGAACGTACTTCCAGAATGGATTAAGTTTGAGAACCAAGATACCACCATAGATATTTCCCACCCCCCTTTGGTCCCATAAGTTATATAGATATCCAATAAATCATAACCTGGTATCCACCTTCCCAGATGTGTGGTTTCATGTAAACCTGAAAGGGACTCACATGTCACGCCTGTTAAGGCTATTTGCAAGTGAAGCCATACCCGTAGGTTGACACGGGATATAATGTACAGTAAAAATAACATATATCACATTGTCTCATTAGATTACTTATGTCATTCTAGCACTCTGGGAGAGGCATTCTTTCAGTAATGGTCTACCCTTTATGCTGGGAGTTGCAGTTTGGTGTGCTTCTGTTTTCTCATGTGTCAAAGTTAGCTCTCTCCTGGTATCACACCTTCAACACATCAGCAACCTTCCTCATGAATCCCTGGTGTTAGGGCTTTCATTGACCATGTCACCTCCCACCCAGCACAGGTTTGTGAGATAATAGTAATAACCAGTGAAGGAAGGCGGTGAAGCTCCTGTGTGAATGTCTGGAGGTGGTTGGAGGATGATGGTGGCTAACAGACTGAGGTTGAATCCTGACAAGACAGAAGTACTGTTTTTGGGGGACAGGGGGCGGGCAGGTGTGGGGGACTCCCTGGTCTGAATGGGGTAACTGTGCCCCTGAAGGACCAGGTGCGCAGCCTGGGAATCATTTGGGACTCACAGCTATCCATGGAAGCGGAGGTTAATTCTGTGTCCAGGGCAGCTGTCTCCCAGCTCCATCTGGTACGCAGGCGGAGACCCTCTCTGCTTGCTGTCTGTCTCGCCAGAGTAGTGCATGCTCTGGTTATCTCCCGCTTGGACTACTGCAATGCAAGGTTATAAATGCAAATATAGGAAAGGGGGAAGGCAGGTGGGAGGGAGAGATTTGCAATAGAAAGACTGTGGGTGGTGGAAGGGGACACACTCCCATAGGTACTTCTCTGCTCCAAATGACCTCCGCCCCCAAGTCTGCCTCTGACTGGGTGCCGAGGACAACTAAAATGAAATAGGCATCCCTTTTATGAGCTGCTTGCATCTTTTCCACAGGTTTCTGGCAGCTCTTTGTCAGAAACGTAACGCGGGGCTTAGATGGACATTTGCTCTGGTCCAGCAGGACTCTTCTTTTGCGCTTGAACCGCCAATGCTGCCGTTTCAGCACCGGAACTGAACTACAGTAGCTTGCAACTCATTGTGATTTTTTCTTTCTGGTCTATGTATCGTGCCTGGTAGTGCCATTGTACAGAGGTTGATGATAGGATATCTTTTTACATTCTTTGTTAGTCCGTAACATGGTCAGTGGGTGAGCTGAAGCGATTTGCTCTGCTACCAGCTGCATTTACTAACAGTGTGTTGGCTTCGGTTGCGTATACTGTATATAGATGCATGGTTCTGCCATTTGGCAGCGTGGTAAGCTATTTATCATCATCGTCGTGGTCCTGGTGGTCTGGTTTTGCAATGCCCAGGTGGCTCAGCAGCCATTATGTGCTGAATTGCTGGGGCCCACCCACGCCATCCTAGCCCCATGCCAGGGCGACTCTCGGGTCTTGCACGAAGCTTTGCAGGTGCCTGCAAACCCCTTTTGGCACAGCTGCATCTTCATGCACCCCACACCTGATGTTAGATGGGTGTGGCTTTGCCACGGGCGTAGCCAGGATATTTGTGGAGGGGGCAGGCTTTTGTTAGGGGTGCACCAAGGGGGTGCAGAGGGGGCAACTGCCCCCCATTAAGCAAAACAATAGAAATACTTAATTTGCTGACAAATCACGTCGGTTCTGCCCCCCCCCCGCAACAGAAGTCCTCCCCCCCAACAAAGTCCTGACCCCATGGGGGGCTGACTTTTGTTAGGTGGACACACAACCTAAGATTTGTATTGATTTGTATTGAATTTTCCTGATTCAGTCCCCCCCCCCCGGGCTTGGCCAGCCTGGCCGCGCAGGCCAAACGGGGGAGGCTTGGTGCGTAGTCTTAGATGGAGCTCGTCTGCCCGGGAAGGGAGCCCATCTCGGAGAAGGAAGACTCTGATCCTAAAACTCCGCTGCCTTCTTTGGGAGAAGAGGAGGCTGCGGAGGGACTGGATGACCCTCGGGGGTCCCTCCACCCCACACCCTTCCGGCGAAGGAGGAGTTAAGCGCCCTTCCCCGCCCCGCCCCCAGGGAGTTCCCTCCTCTGCTTGCGACGTCAGCGCCCGGCCCCGCCCACCTCGGAGGCTCGGACAAGATGGCGGCGGCGGCGGCGGCGGCGGCTTCGCAGCGGCAGGTAGGAAGTTCCCTTCCTCGCCCGGGGGTCGGGCGGCGGGGCGGCGGGGCCTCGGTGCCCAGGACACGCGCACACCCGTGTTCCGGGGAGTCGTGGGGATCCGCGGGAGGCGCGCGCGGGCCCCTTTCCCCTTGGGAGGGCGGCGTCGGGGCCGCTGAATGGGGGCCCCTCGGGGCGGGGGCGCCGCCTCCCCGGGCCCCGGAATGCTGCCCGGCTGGCCTGGGGCTTCGCGGGGCAGCCCGAGACCTTGCAGCCCCGGAGGCCAGCCACAAAATGGCCAAGGGAGGAAGGGCCGCGGGAGCAAGCAGAGACCAGAGGGGGCCTGGGGGTCCTGCCCCCTTAGCCGCGGCTCCTACCTTTCCCGGGCTGGGTTTAGGCCCACGTCGACCTCTGCCTCCGCTGGTGGCTGGCCTGGGCTTCCTCTCACCCCCAGGCTGCCACCCACTCTGCAGGTGGACGCAGCTGCATTTCATGCAGAAAGTGTGCGGGGGGGGGATGTGATGCTTTCCAGATATTGTCAGACTCCAACTCCCATCAGCCCCAACCAGCATAGCCAGTGGTCAGGACAATTGGCAGCTGTAGTCCACCTCTCTGGGAGGCAACATATTGGCTGCCCGTGGACTACAGGATCAAGACTGACAGTTACCTGCAAGAGATATTTTCTCTCTTCACAGTCCTTGCCCTAAAATCAACTGGCGTTTCCTCTCCAAATTAGAGATCCCAATATAGCAGTTGCCCTTGTTCCAAAAGCAGTGGCATTTTTGGTGTTAGACAAGAGACCCCTGTATAAAGAGGCAGTTGCATCTTAGACACACTAAGCAGTTGTGTTGCAGCTTTGGGGTTGGTGTGTGTGTGTGGGGGGGGTTGTCAGCAATGCAGCAGGTGAATTCATGAGATGCAGCTTTTTGATCAGTGGCTTCCAAGGTTTCGATAAAACTTCAAAAGCAAGTTATAGAAGTAAGCAGCCTCTTGCCAGTTTCACTTTTAGTCAGGCAGTGACAGTCTTATTCCTGCAAGCTTTTGCAGAATTTCATGATAAATAAATTGAGGTTCGATAATAAATAAATTCATTCAGATAAATTCAAGATCTGCAGGTGTCCTCTAGCCTACTCTGAAAGAAGTTGTATTTCAAGGTCAAGGGATCCCAGAGCCAGCTTCATTTTAGCTGCTACATCCTCACTTCACAAGTCTTGTAATAATCCCACTTCCCAGCTGCAAACCTGTGTCGTGTGTTTTCTGTTTCAATATTGGGACAGTAGCAGCATGATGCGCCTAATGCCAGTGATTAATTGGCGCCTGAGTGACGGAAGTGCTAATTTATTTCTTTCAAAAGAACACACTCCTTGTGAACAAGCCTCCCACACTAGCCTCTGAGGTCTATCAGAGAACAGTTTGACAGCCAAGTGGGGAGGGTCGGGGACACCCCTTTATTCTGATGGAAGGTAGCCTGCTGTTGCCGGAGCTGTAATGATGGTGTAGCTGCAGAGTGGAGCTTGAAGCCACCAAGACTCCCTGAGGGTGGACCTGAAGCAAGCTGATACTGGCAACTCCAGGAAGCCCCAATGTTTATTCTCTCTCCACCCCCCCCCCAAAACTGGAACTGAGCAGATGAAATTATCCAGGGTACAGCTGCTCAAATGTCAAGTTCTCGCTGCTCCAGGGTACTATTCCTGCTCAAACATTATTGCACAAAAAGAAGAAGGAAAAGCTTGTTTGCTGTCACTTGCCTTCGGTTTTTCTCCTCACTTTGCTGGTAGCATTCAGCATCTTCAGGCCCTTCACGGTGAATGGCTGTGTGCATGGGGTTCATGAAAAGCTGCAAATGACTTGGGCAAAGGAAGGGTAAGCTTGCGAGGGGTAGCTAGTGCCGCAGAAGACAGAATTGGAATTCAAAATGACCTTAACAGATGGGAGAACTGGGCGCAAGCTAACAAAATGAGTTTCAGTAGGTACAAATGTCAGGTCCTTCACTTAGGCAGGAAGAACCAGATGCACAAATATAGGATGGGGGAAACCTGGCTTACTAGCAGTACATGTGAAAAGGATCTGGGGGTCCTAGTAGACCACATGCTTAACATGAGTCAACAGGGTGATGCAGCAGCAAAAAAGGCTAATACTATTTTAGGCTGCATCAACAGAAGTCTAGTGTCCAGATCAAGGGAAGTCATAGTACCACCCTATTCTGCCTTTGTCAGACCACACCTGGAATACTATGTCCAATTCTGGGCACCACAATTTAAGAAGGTTGTTGACAAGCTGGAACAATGTGCAGAGGAGGGCAACCAAGATGCTCAAGGATAAAAAAAAAAGCCTTATGAGGAATGGTTGAAGGAGCTGGGTATGTTTAGCCTGGAGAAGAGGAGACTGAGAGGAGATATGATAGCCATCTTCAAATATCTTAAGGGCTGTCACATGGAGGAGGGAGCAAGCTTGTTTTCTCCTGCTCTGGAGCGTAGAACTCGAATGGCTTCAAGTTGCAAGAAAGGAGATTCCGACTAAACACCAGGAAGAACTTTTTGGCTGTAAGGGCTGTTTGACAGTGGAATGGTCTCCCTTGGGAGGGTGGGGACTCTCCTTCCTTGGAGGTTTTTAAGCAGTGGTGGGATGGCCATCTGTCATGGAGGCTTTAGCTGCGATTCCTGCATTGCAGGGGGTTGGACTAGATGACCCTCAGGGTCCCTTCCAACTCTACAATTCTATGGCCCCCACAGGCCTTTGAGCAAAAGAGCATCATGTAATTAAATAATGGTTAGGTGATTTTATGTGACAGAAACTTCTCTTTAGAACAGGAGTGGGGAATTTTGGCCCTTCCAGTTTCCCCTGACACCTACCTTGGGAGGGTGGAGGTAGTGGGCTCATGGGAAAATTTTGCTTAGCTGGGAGGTTGGGGTGGCTTGGAAGCAAATATGGCTGTTTGGCTTTAGAACCAAGGCAGGGTTAAGGATGCTTAGAAACTCACAGGATTGGTTTGTGCTGCAAGGGGTGAGGGAAGGCTTTTGTGGTGAAGCCAAATGCATAGCAAATGGGGATTGTGAAATTAGATAGTGAAATTTCAGGATAACGGAGGCTGAGCCTTCTCAGACCCCTGCCGTTCCCAAAGTTGCAATCTTCCAATGCTTTTTTAGCAAAACAAAATTGGCTGTTGTGGGGTTTGCATGAGTCTACCTCTCTATGGTAAATGGCACTGGCATGCCCAGCAAAATGTACTATGCAGCACAGCAGAAAATGCATTATAGGAACAACATTTATATGTGTGTTTTCAAGCACAAAAACATTTATGTCCAACACATTTCTTTGGTAAAACTTGGTGCTGTGAGAAGACCAGGTATTTGCTAATACTCTGCCACCCTGGGGCTGCTTACACTTTAATTCAGAATGCAGTTACTTTCCTCTATACCAAAAGAGAATGTGCTTCTCTTAAGCTGGGAACACAATAAGAAAATGTCCTCTGTTAACATGACTCGTCGGGGTGCAAACGAAGTGTTGTCTTCCTGACTAGCTCAGCACTGTGTGAACACACGCTCCACAACAACAGCTCCACAACAACAGCTCCACAACAACAGTCATGCGAGGGATGACCCCCAAAAGCAGGGGTGGGGGCTCTTTCACATAAAGGAAGTCTTGTTTCAAAACAAGTTAACATATAAAGTGATCACAGTGAGCTTGTTACCTGCTGCCAGCGATATGCTTTTCCAGGAGATTGCGTCAGACAATCATGAGGGGTTAGGAAACTGCTGTTTGTTTGAAAGCTAAATCTGGGAGCCTGTGGGCGCCAGCTTCATGTGCCGGGTAGCAGATTGTGCTCCATATGAAAATTCTGTGGGTGTGCACTTCTGTCTGTTCTTTTATATTTGTTGCTAAAAAGCATGCATACTGTGACAGGGACCTGGAGGTCAGCCCTTTCGTTTGCCTCTGCTATCTTCCTCCTTGCAGGCCCCTGGATGAGGCGCAGTCAGAACTCCTCCTGCGGCACACTCACGAATGGCTTCTCCTCCTCCTCCTCTCCAGACCCCGGCCTTTCAGGTGGGGGTGGGAGGGGAGACCTCCTGCCTCTCTCCCACAGCATGACGACGATGCTTGCCTCTCGCAGGAAAAGGCTCGGAGGCAGAGCCATGGCCGAGGCTCGGAGCACCATCAAGGTGGACCTCCCCAATCAACAGCGCACAGTGGTGAGCGAGACTTTCTGGCCATGAGAGGCTGCGTGTGATCATAGCTATTCAGAGAGCGTCTGGCGAGGCAGCGGGTGGGCGAACCTGTGGTCCTGCAGGTGTTGTTGGACCCCCGGCAGGACTGAGGATGAGTCCAGCAAGAGGAGCACAGGTTTCCCAGGCCCCTTTGTGCTTTAGGGCAGCCGTCTTCCATTGCTGGATCACAACCCAAAACTGGGTCAAGCACTGACCTAAAGTGCGCCACAGTTCAGGGCAGCAGAATCGCCATTCTTTTCATGTTTGCTTACTTTTTTTAAGAGAAGGAAAGAGATGGAGGTAGAGAGAGAGCGAGAGAGAGCAGGAAAAGAGCAGAAAGGGGGAGGAACAGAAAAACAAAGAGAAGGCATGAAAGTGAGGAAGGAAGACATGCATGGTAAAAAAAAAAAAGATAAATAAAAGTAGGTCCCGTTGTTTGCAGGTTGGGTTTCCAGGTAAATTTTGCTGGTTTGTTGTGATTTTGTTTGTTTGTTTGTTTAATCATCTGCTTTTGCTGTATTTTCATTGCATTCTGGTGTTGGTTGGTTTTTAATGTGCTTGAGGAGTTCAGTTGTGAACTATAAAGGCAGAGTATAAATATTCATACTAAATACATAATCCTGGGTTTGGAAAGGTTGAGGACTACTGCCTTGGAACATCTGTATTGAAAAGTGGGATTTTATTTATTTATTTATTCATTTAAAATAGATGTAATTAGGGTTCTTTAATAAATCTCCAAGCTGAGTTTTTTTATTCCCATTTTATAGGTGGGAGAACTGAGGCTGGGACTGACTATGTAGTGAGTTCAGATATCCTGAAGAGTTCCTAACTGGACTATCATATCATAGAAGGGTATTCAACACTAATCTTACTCAAAGCACACCCACTGAAGTTAATGGACATGACTACTCTAGGTTCACTAATTTCAGTGGGTTCCTTGGAATAGGACTTAGCTGAATATGTGTGCACACTATATTTTTAAAGCACATCCCACCCCCAAGAATTATGGGTACTTTAGTTTGCTGAAAGTTGGTAAGAGTTGTAATTCTGTGAGGTGGTAGAGCCCAAAACTTTTTGGGTCTAGGCCTCAGAGGCCGCCATGTCTGGATTTTAACCAAAGATGGAACATCTGTCAAAGACTATCAGAAATTCCATCAAGTGTTCTTGCATTCTAAAAAACTATTTCTTGTCATCTTTCAAAAGAATATCATTCTGTGTCAGCTGTCAAACAGTACAGAAAATTGAAAACAAATGCTGAGGTGATATATAGCAGCGCATCAGATATGGCTCATGTT